TATCAACGTCACGGTAGTTTTTTAATAATTAAAGGAAGTATCCAGAAGTTTCCAGAAAAAGCATCTAGAAGCATCCAGAATCCAGAAACATTCAGAAGCAACCAGACGCATCCAGAAGCATCCAGACATATCCGGAAGCTTCCAGAAGCATCGAAAACAAGCATCTAAAATCTTCCAGAACAGGTTCACAGGTTCATTTTACTATATAAGAGACATGTAAACCGACATGTAATTCAGTCAGTATATGGAAGTCAATCAGTCAGTATTATCAAGACAGTTTATCGAAGTGAGTTTTATCAAAATGTTTTATCGAACAACATCGATACAAGAAGTGAAATACAACAAGTGTTTCATTACATCAATACATTCCACATCCAACCAAAACATTGTGTTTCACAGAGCATTATTGTATCATCACAAGGTAAATGTAACACGGTAAGCCTTAAGAAGCGTGATTATTTATTTTTATTATTTTGATTAATTCAAGTCCAAAAATGGCTCCCGACAGTCTTGGATTGGAACTAAGAAAGAAAATTATTGGCAATTACGTAAGTGGAATGTCACAAAAAATTATTTGTGATAAATATCGCGTGAAAAAATGGACCGTATCAAGACTATGTTCCAAATATCGTTCTACGGGAGGTTGGCAGCAGATAGCAAAGATGGAAGACCGCGTTCCATCACTTCTAGAGAGGATTTTATGATCGTCAGATCCGTCAAGAAGGATCCCTGGATATCATCAGTTAAGATACAAAAGCAATTAGAGCTGCCTATATCGGACCGAACAATCAGACGACATGCTGTTGAAGCTAGATTGTTTTCTCAACGCCCTGCAAAAAAACTGCTTATTTCACTAAAGAACCAGAAGAAAAGACCTCTGTTTGCTCATCTCATATTGACTGGAATGTTCAGAAATGGTGAACTGTCCTGTTCAGTGATGAATTGAAGTTTTACATCATTGGGAGCGATGGCATTTGCCGTGTACGTCGACCCAAAACACACTGCAAAAGTATTCAAGCAGTTGTTTCAAGACAACCACCTACCGGTGAAGGATTGGCCCAACCTAATCGAGAACCTGTGGGAGATCATCAACCGCAGAATTAATTGTGAAGGTGTTCGTAATAAGGATCAACTGTTTAATCAAATCCAAAAGACCTGGGCAGCGATTCCACAAAGTTTCATTGATCACCTGATCGATGCAAGGCTGTGATTGACAACAAAATCTTCGCCACAAAATATTGATAGCAAAAAATAATCAACATTTTGTGGAGTTGCACTTGTTTTGTCCAGAAGGATATCAATATTTTTTTAATACTTTTGAGTAATTTAATAATCAACTTGTGATGAATAAAACTTGAAGAACGTTGTCTCTAAACAGTTACATAGTTATTTCTCTAAATTGAAAAATTTCTTTACATAAAAAGCACTTTTATGTAAAGAAATTAAAACATTGGAACCGTTGTTTTGCAAGTATACTACGTTAACCCAACGTGGTATGCTAGCTGGGATCCCTAGGACACGTATTAAAGAACTTTTTTTGCGAGAAACCTAATATTATTGTTTTTAAATATCTTGTCAAACTTTAAATGAATTGGGTTTAATTAATTTAAACGACTTGAAAAAAAAAAAAGAAAAAAAAAATGTAAAGTTTTGAATCAAAATTTTTTTGGAATAGCCTCTAGATTTCAACTTTTGTACACGTGTGAAAGAATAGGTTGAAGAACTTAGATGAGGTCGATAGGACATCTTTCAACGTTCCGATTTTCAGCTTTCAGTATGAATTTAAACCGAAATTTTGCTTTTTTACCGAATTTATAAAAAGTAACAAAACCTCGGTATCGGTTCAAATTGAAATTTCGGTTGAAACAGAATTTTGGTCGATCACTACTTAATTAGATTCACATTTAGTTACTCAGACAAAAGACTGTCTATTTTTAAAATTTGGTCTGGGTTTTACAAAAAAAGCGAGACCAGGATTTGCTCACTAGAAAAAATTTTTTCTAGTGAGCAAATCCTGGTCTCGCTTAAACTAAGTAAAGTTTTTTAAAATGAGCAAAAATCTTTTTAAAAAAGTATTAATTGCATCTTTTAAACAAAAAGTTTTTAAATATGCATAAGAAAAAATCTACCAATTTTTTATTATTTACATTCGTAAAACGATAATAATGTGACAACATACATAAGTGTAATATTTAATCAGCTTTACAACTTTATTATAATTACGGATTTTAGTTTTACAATAAATAAAAGCAATGAAAACTTTTTCTCTATGCCTGCGATTAGATAGTTAAGGTAATAATGGATATCCATTTATTCTTGTCATAAAAAGAACTATCATTGCTTTTTTGCAATGATAGTATGAATATGTAAATCCTTTGGATTTGGTCAGAACTCTAACTACTGCTCCACGGCTGCTTTAAAATTAATAAATTACAAAAATTAATTATAATGGACGTTCAAATAACGTACTAAACCACGTCTTGGCGTGTTTTTAGGTAACCTTAGTAAGTTATTGAGACGCCTTTTATTTGACGTTGTCAAAACATCTTTAACGTCGTAATGAAGCCATTTTATGACGTTCAAAATTATGCTAAATAGCAAATGGAATCGATGTCTTTTTAGGACGTCATCAAAAAGATATTTTTAAGACGTCCATAAGTTGTGTTTTTAGACAAATTAAAAAAGTATGGGGTCGTCCATAAATTACGCAACGCTAAATTTTACTAATAAACAAAACAAAAGTTTTCGCTTGCAGAGCCTTAAGTTAAATAAAAAATTAAAACAACGCATATGTATAATGAAAATCGCCGTGTAAAATAGCTAAAGATCTCCTTTTTAAATAAATTTATGCATAAGGAAATAAAACTTCATTTTATTTCCTTATGCATAAATTTTCACCCCACAGTATTTCTTAAAAATACCAGCAACAACAACAACAACAAAAAATCAAACCAAATAAACGTTTTAAAGTATATATTTTCGATAATTTTGAAAGAATTTTTATAAATTAAACTTCTTGTTCATAGGATAAGAAACACTAAAAATCAAAACTTTGCTTTTTATTTCTTTAATCTTATTTGAAATTTATTCTAGATTCAGAAAATATATACATTTATGTATATTTTAAGTCTTTATTTTATGTAAAATTCATTTTTTAGATGTACAGACTTTTAAGAATCTATAAGCAACACCTTTTTTTTTGAACTAAAACTTTAGCCAACATACCAGAGTTCAAAAATATGTGTTTCTGGTATAAAATGATATTACCCCGGAAGTTTAAATGGATTTAGCACACTTGATAAGCAATTAAAACTTATTAATTTTGTAACTAGTATCCAGTATTACAAGATGGTTAATTGTTCTCCTACTTTGCTACATAACTTTGGATGGTTCTTTACGGATGATTAAAGTCAAAGCATTAGTTACAGCATTAGGATGCATATTACAATTTTTACACTTAATCAATTAAACTAGTTGGTTTCATTTTGCAATGACTTTTTATCAACTCATTTAAATAACCAAATTTTCAGAAAAAGAAAACTAACAATTTATGAGTGAAGAAGCATAGTAAGTGATGATGGGTGGTAACATCAGTTGTCTAAAAGATCTCTTGAACTTTGAAAGCCTAGAACTTCAAATAAAAAAATGGAAAGAAATTCAAGTGTGATAATTTATAATCATAAAATTATAAGTTATATATTATAAAAACATTAAAAAACAAAACAAAAATTTGTATTTAAAGGAAAAATAAATTCCTGATTGCACTGATAAAGTTAGAGCAGTTGCAAATGAAGTGTGAAAGAATCGGTTGCAAATTTAGAAAGTGATTCAATTTTTATTCAGATAGTCCAAAAATGGCACCGAAAATGCAAAAGATTTGATTTTTTTTTTTCGTAGATTATCTAGTGTTGCCAGATGTCCAGCTTTTATAGAGAACACATTAAAAATCTTTGTTTTTAAAGTTCGATCCTTAAAATATATGATATTAGCAACCTAAATCCATTAAAACTTTTGAGGTCATATAAATTTAAACCTAAAACGCATATTTTTGAACTGTGGCATTAAATTATTTTCTCAATTCAAAGCTAAAAAATTATTTTCTCAATTCAATAGCTAAAAAATTTATATCCTAGTTAATACTCATATATATATATATATATATATACATATATATATATATATACATATATATATATATATATATATATATATATATATATATATATATATACATATATATATATATATATATATATATATATATATATATATATATATATATATATATATATATATATATATATATATATATATATATATATATATATATATATATATATATATATATGTATATATATATATATATATATATATATATATATATATATATATATATATATATATATATATATATATATATATATATATTAGATACGTGAGTAAAAATTTCAAATTGTTTAAATATTGAAAATATTAAAAAAATTTTAAAAATCAAACAATTGGTTCAAAACTTATGACGGTTTAAGTACCGATTTTTCGATATATGAAATTGTTGAAGAAACTGTGGTCAAAATCATGTTTTTCCTCACTTAAATTGTCATAACTTTTTTAATTCTCATCGAAATACAAATATCTTGGAGTCAAAAAATAGGTGTAAGAGTGGACTACAAATTTTCGTTAAACTCTAACCACCGGGCATAACAGTGGACAGAGGGGGGCACCAAACCACCACCTTACCCCTATGAAATTGATCATTTTTTTCAGAAAAAAAGTTTTTTTTTTTTAGACAAAAGTTATTTAAATAAACAAGAAAAGTTGTTATAAAATTATATTAAACCACTGATGATGAGAGGGGTATGTTAACAATGAAGTGGGTGCGGTGGTGATGGTTTGATACACCCTAGTATTAAATATGACTTTTTTCATAAATATTTTTATTTTTACTACAATGAATTCAATAGTATACATAATAAAAATATGTTTTACAAGAATTTACATACACAAGTGGCGTTGATGTATGGGAGGGGTGTCTAATCCCCCCCCCCCAACCTAAAAAAAAAATTTAAATAACTCAATTACTGTTTTCATAAAGTCTTTAAAGGTTTTTTTCTGTATAACAAAAAGTTCTATAAATTAATACCGGACAACTACAAAACATTGAAGGTAAATGTAAAACTAATGTTAAATGTGTTGATGATGTTTTAACACACCCTAATATCAAAAAAAAATTTAATTATGAAATATCTGATTTTTTATTTAAAGTACAACAACAAAAAAGTAAAAATTATATCTTACTCGGTCAAAAGTTACATTAGTGTTGCATCCATTGTCAAATAAGAGGGGTCATTCCCTTTTCCCCCGGCCTGAAAAAATGTAAACTTTTTTTTGAAAAAAACCTTTTCGATTAATTAATAGGAGAATTAGTTGTTAAAATATTCTCTTATTACTGAATTACTTCTATTATAAGTAAATAGTGGTAAAAAGGTAATCAAAACAAGGTATTTACCAACCTTTATAAATCTTCCAATCTTTCATATAGTGCTTGACAGTAGCATGGTTAACGAAAGGTTTGGCTGCTTCAAAATAAAAAAATTAAAATGTTATTAACACTAAATAATGTTCGATTATTTTAATGATGCTTTATTTCTACAGTTTTGTCTTGGCTTTTAGTGAATGATTACAATAATAAATTCCACTAATGAAATTATTTTATAATCATTTTTAACAATAGACACCGTGTGAAGGTAAGCCAGAGCCGTCTATCAAAAAGGCATAACAAGTCACAACACTTGCAGTACTTATTTTAGCATGTCACAGCACATGCAATACTTTTTCTTAGCATGTCACAGCAGATGCAGTACTTTTTTAGCATGTCACAGCACATGCAGTACTTTTTTTTAGCAAGTCACAACACTTCCAATACTCTTGTTTAGCAAGGCACAACACTTGCAGTACTTTTTTTGCATATCACAGCACATGCAGTACTTTGTTTTGCTTATAAATTTCAAATTTATACTTTCACAGTGTTTTAATAATATAATATAAAATTAATAAAATTGTAACTCTCCTGAAATAACATCTGTAACAATCTGGATCTTTTTCATACAATGATCGACAGCTTCCATATCTCCTTTGTCATCTTTCAAGTAAGAAATAGTGTAAACTAAGTCATTTTTTCTGCTACTAACTTTTTCTACTCTGCCATTATACAAAACAGGCTTGAATGTATTTGGATTGTACCATTCATGGTATAGTTTTTTGCCTACAATTCTTCCAGACATAACATTCTCTAAATCATAAAGTTGGTCATTAGACAAGTTTTTGTATGAACCTATAATTATAAAAAACTTTACCAGTTGGATCATTACAAAATATATTACAAGAATATTTTAAATTAAAATCATTTTGCAAAGTAAAAATATACACGCTTACCAGTAAGATTAGAGGAAGGAAGGCACTAAAAATTTTAAAATAAATAACTTTAAAATATATAAGATTACAGAAAACATACCAATTTTATAGTTGTTTTGAAAACTTAAATATTTAAAATTTATTAAAAAGTAAAAATAAAAAATAGATGACAAAAAAAAAAAATTAAAAAAAAAAATTAAAAAAACATAAAAAAAAATCTTAAAATTATTTTGCCATATAAATCATTTTGAAATGTCATAATATATACACCTTACCTGCTGCAACAGATGACAAGACAATATTAAATAATAAAATGACACAAAAGATTAAATAGTACATATAAATATTACATATTGAATATACATACAAATTACATAATCGCTTATAATTAATACTTAACTTAACGCTGCTGCTCACCATTCGTGCACCTTTACACGGACTTTTTTACCATACTTGGCCTTTGAGTTTTATTATAAATTGCTTTACTTCTGTACACGCGTTGTGAGGCTCTTTCAAATCTTAATAATCTGTCAGTATCTGCTTAATCAGTAATGAGATCAAAAACTTTGTTTCATCAGCTTGATTAGTGATAAGATCAACAATTTTTATTTGATAACTTCTGTAGTAAAGGATGAACATTATGTTATTATTGAATTAGTAAAGTAACTTTTAAAGTCAGGTGATTTATTTAAATCATGCATTTTAGTCTTTTGTCAATTGTATTTAAATTTATTAATTTATAAAATTAATCTGTAATTTTTAAATTAAAAGACGACTCAAGAAGACGTTGCTCATTTCAAAGGTCAAGAGGTCAAACTCTTGATAAAGTTAGTGTTTAAAACACTTGCATCTCACACGGTCAACTCAATGTTACATCGTTTAATACCTTATTTAAAAGAAGTTATAAAAATCCGTATAAAAAACCAGATTGTTTGATAGTTTGTTTTTGAAAGTTGTTAAACATTTATTACGAGGTATTTCAAAAAACAAAAATAAGGTTGTATTTGTAAAGTTTCAAATTTATATATTTTTCTTAATTTATATATTTATCTATATATGTGTGTTATTTATATTGTGTTTTATTGTGTATATATGTGTTAAGGTTATATGGGTTTATATTTTGTAAGTGTGTAAATATATGAAATGTTTCAATGTTTGTGGTGTGTTATATGTAATATGTTTATAGTTTGTAAGTGATAATTATGTTGTTTGCATGGTTTCAAATTGTTGTGACTGGGCTTAGTTTACAGCAAGATTGTTGACCTCGCTAGCCAAGTGGTGTACTTTGCTATAATGTGACCTGGCTTTGTTGAGAGCAAAAATATTGTCCTCGCCAGCAGAGTGGTGGATTGTCATAATAAAACAAATAAATTAATTCTGTTTGTAATTAGTGTATTTCTAAAATGTGTTGAAAAAATATTGTTTAAAAAATGTGTTTTAATGTTGTTATCCTCTGTTCTTAACAATGTATGCTTTTGACAATAAATAAATTTTGTTAAAAAGCAGGCTTTACTAACAGCTCCTCCTCATTAAAATTTTTAAGAGTTTCGATTTTCTTCATTAAATATGTTTAACTCAAATTTTTTTTATATATATAAAAGTAAGTATACAGCGTGTTGAAGCATAAGTTTTAATAACTTTTGTTAAATTTTTAGGATTTTTTGTATAGAGAATGTTTTCTTTATATTATTATTTTAATGTTTTGTATGTACATCAATATATATATATATATATATATATATATATATATATATATATATATATATATATGTATATATATATATATATATATATATATATATATATATATATATATATATATATATATATATATATATATATATATATATATATATATATATATATATATATAGACACACACACACACAATAAAATATATAGAATTAAAATGTCTATACATATATTATATGTATAGACATTTTAATTTTTTTGCCTTAAATTATTGTCCCTTTTTCTTTAGAATATTAAATATCTAAAAAAAAAATAAAATAGTAAAAGAAGTTTCAATATTTCCAAGTTTCTTCACTTGAAGCAAATATATGATTGTTTATAGAGGTTCTTTTAGTAGTTTTGTATTTATTTATTGCAAATCTTGCGTTAAATGCCTTTCAAAGTAATGAAAGGGTTTTGTTGATGGATGATTACATTTTATCCTTCCATGCTAGCAGTACCTGCTGAGTTGACAGGCCTTAAATTTTTTTAATTTGCTTTATTTATGAGTTCTTATATGTAAAAAATTTGTTTTTTAAATTACATTTGTTTTTTTTGTTTTTTTTGATTAAATACTTATAATATTTTGTCAATAATTGATAACAACTACCATAAATATATAAACAATACTTAGTTGAAAATATTACATTAATTTATAACTTTAGTTTAAGTTTTTAATAAAACTATGTTATCTTAACACAATGCTATATATGGTAGAATATAATAGATTATAGTATTATGCTCTGTATTATTTGCTTACACTTTATTTTAGATAAGTTTAAAAAAGAAACTTCAACTTTTATTATATTAGGCATCATTTTTACACACTCCTTTGATGCCTACTTATGTCTAATAATTTAAGAAATGAAATTATTAGACTTCGTCAAAATGAAAGAAGGCAGGCTAGGCGAGCTGAGATAAACCGCCGTCGAAATGAAAGAGATGAGCCCAGGCGAGCTGAGATAAATCGTCGTCGAATGGAAAGAGATGAGCCCCGGCAAGCTGAGATAAATCGTCGTCGAATTGAAAGAGATGAGCCCCGGCAAGCTGAAATAAATTGTAATCAAAATGATGTGCATATGATAAGCATGTTCTCAATTAGGTCTGTTACAAGACGACGCTGAATGGAGAAATACATTAACTGAGGCTGCTGCAACTCGGTTGCCAAATCAAATTAGACAGTTGTTTTCCATTATTTTGACTTTCTGTGAACCTGATGATCCATTAAATCTTTGGAATGCCTTTAAAGATTTTATGATGGAGGATTACATTCACCATTCCATGCCACCAATAATTGCTGAGCAGGCAGCTTTGCGTCAAATTGAATCTATAATTAATCAGAATGGTAAGACTTTAGCTGATGTTAATCTTCCTACTTTAGATGAGTTTTTAGATTATGTCCCACAAAATGAAGAGGAAGATGTTCAGGTTTTAATTGATGAAGCAAATAGGGTTAGACCATTGTTAAATGATAATCAGCGTCAAATTGCTGATGCTATCCTTTCTGCTCTTAGTGAGCAACCTAACAATGAAAACAAGCAGTCTAGATTGTTTTTTATAGATGGCCCTGCAGGTTGTGGTAAAACATTTACATACAATTATTTAATCGCTGAAACCAGCAGTAGACATATTATAACTGCAACAGCTGCATGGACAGGAATAGCTGCAACTCTTTTAAAAAAAGGATGTACACTTCATGGTTTGTTCAAACTTCCTGTGCCGATTTTGGAAAATAGCACATGCAATGTAACTCCAAATTCTATACACGGAAAATTCTTGAGGCAAGTTAGCCTTTATTTACTAGATGAGGCATCCATGATACCTAAACATGCTTTAAATGCCATTGATAAGTTACTTCAAGACGTTTGCAATAACAGGTTTCCTTTCGGTGGTAAAGTTATTCTTATGGGTGGGGATTTTAGGCAAATACTTCCGGTTGTAAAGAGAGGGCAACCAGCTGATATTGTTGAAGCCTGTATAAAATGTTCTCAACATTGGCAATATGTTCAGCGATTTTCATTAACAGAAAATATGAGGGTTCAGGCCGAAGAAGAGGAATTCTCTCAATGGCTTTTAAAACTTGGTAGTGGAACATTACCTTTAAAAGCAGATGGTTCCTTTCGCGGGTGCATTGAGATTCCTGAGCAATTGAATCTTTAGTAGACAAGATTTTTGGAGTTGCAGAAGAAGATGATTATGCTAAACGTGCCATTTTGACACCCAATAATGTTGATTCTTTAGCAATAAATGAAGAAGTTTTGGACCGTTTACCAGGTGACGTTAAGGTTTATTTAAGTGCTGATACTATTGAAACAGATGATCTTAACAAAATCAATAATTTTCCTGTTGAGTTTTTAAACAGTCTTACTCCATCAGGAATGCCTGTTCATTGCCTAAAGCTAAAAATTGGTGCTGTTATAATGTTACTTCGAAATTTAGATCTAAAAGCTGGACTTTGCAATGGTACCCGATTGATAGTGCGTGCTCTACAAAATAATTACATTGATGGGCAAGTTCTAACAGGTGTTTCAGTTGGCAAGAGGGTATTTGTCCCTCGAGTTCAGTTAACACAATCTGATTCAAATTTACCTTTTACTCTTAAGCGTCGTCAATTTCCTGTAAGATTAGCATACTCAATGACCATAAATAAAAGTCAAGGTCAAACTTTTGACAAAGTTGGTATTTATCTCAAAAACCCTTGCTTTTCACATTGTCAACTCTATGTTGCATGTTCAAGAACAAGATCGTTTAATACCTTATTTTTTAAAATTGATGAGCATTCATTACAAGGTATGTCATTTAACAAATGCTACACAAACAATGTTGTATTTACCAATGTACTAAATCTATAAATAATTAATTTTTTACAATTAAACTCCTCATTTTTTATAAATATTTTAACTGTAATTTAAAGTATTTTTGTGTGTTGCTTGATGCAGTAATGTGTGATATTTATTATGTGTTTAAATATGTGTTAAGGTTATATTTTGTAAGTGTTTATGTGTAACTAATGTGTAAATGACTGTTATATGTGAAGTGTATTTTTTATGTTATCTGTTTATAGTTTGTGAGTTGTTATTATGTTGTTTTCATGGTTTCAAAGTGGTGTGACTTGGCTTTGTTTATGGCAAGAGTGTTGTCCTTGCTAGCCAAGCGGTGTACTTTGAATAATGTGACTTGGCTTTGTTTATGGCAAGAGTGTTGTCCTTGCTAGCCAAGTGATGTACAGACATGAAACACATAATAAAATCTGTTTGTAATCACAAAATGTGTACTTATAAGTATGTTATATTTTTATGTTTTATGCAAATAGATTTAGCTCACATTCATGTTGGTCTGTCAGGGTTATGTAAAAATAAAAAAGTAAGTTTCTTATTCGCATTTTTGAGTTTTCAAAAGTATTGATTGCATGACATGTTAATTTGTAATTAATGTGTATGATTATGATTATGTGTTTAAATAACTTTGTTCCATTTTTAGTTCCGTTTCTTATAGCTGACTTGATTATGGCTTACCTAAAGCTTAATATTTATGAAACAATGATTCAATTTAAATTGTATTATAAGTAGCTCTGTTGAATAAATTTTTTTTTTGTAATTTGTACTAAAGGTTATATTTTTATTTTATATCAAGAAAAATATGTTTTTAAGTAAATATCTATATTTTTTTATTTTGGGATTTATTGGTTTAAATGGATATAAAAATCATTTTTGCTTTGTCTTTCATATTTCCTTTTATTATATATGAATAGGAACCATTTATGCTTTAATCACCATTAGCACTCGAAGTTTCCATTTGCATTAAGTATCGATTTTTGGCACACACAACAGGTTTAATAACTTAGGCAGTAAAAACAGCTTGAATGATTTGTTAAGAGTCTTTAAAGAAACGCTTTTACGAAAAGCATTAAATAGATAAAGCTAACTTATTTAAAATAATAAGTCTTTAACCCGTTTTTCTATATCCAAATTTACTTTTTAAATAAATGTTGATGAAAGGGTAAAATATCGTTATAGCCTACGTTAATTTTAAATTCTTTTTAAATTAAAGGAAAGAGTTTTGATACTTATTTAAATAGGGTTAATAAAATATTTTAAATTATATTATATATATTATATTTAAGAAATTATTAAACTAAATTAAATAAGATTTTTAGATGAAACAGTAAAAATAATTGTTTAAAATACGTGCGTGCAAATAATTCCTACAAATACTAAACGTAAAATAACGCTTACAAACACCAAAAGTATGTTTGCAGTGAATAAAGTTAAGTTCAAAGATAAATAGGAAGAAATGTTTAAAACTGTTTCAATGATAACATTTATTTTTAATTACTTTTGTTGTAAGTTGGAATGAAAAAAAAAAGTCACTGGAGTATGAACTCCCGGGGTAAGATGACTATAAATGTCTAAGTGTTGCGCGTCTACCAATTAGCCCATAAACGTATTTTCTATTTAAATTTAAGATTATTTATGACGCATAAGAAGTGTAATTAAAAATTCAAAACCAAGTTTGCAACAACTGAGTTTAAATAAAATCTAATTAGATGTGTATATGTTATGAACGTTAACTAAGGCGTACTTTAACGGCGTCACGTGTTGAATGTTTTAGCATTTTTCTAAGTTCGTAGTTTTTTTTACGTTTTTTCTTATTAAAATTTTTATAATCGGCATAATATTAAAATCGTTTGAAGTTTTTAAAAGAACATTTTAACAGAAATGTTTTTGTCATATCAAAAAGTAAGTATAGTTTTTTATATGTACATTTTTAAACGGTTTTAAAAAAATATTGAGGTAAGGAATAAGTATAGAAAAGGTCGGTGTAGAATAGATTTACTAAGACCCTTAGTTTACGTCCGGATAGCTATAGATAAGTATAAAAATGGTCGGTTCGGTAAAGACCCGTATTTTACGGGTCACCCCAGCTAGTACATAATAAATAGTACAATACTGCATAATACGCAAAATCAAACTATATTTTTCTATATATACACATAAAAATACACATTAATCTCTTACTAATTAATGAAGTAAGTGATGCTAAAGAAGTAAAAAGGAGTATGTAGTAACAATGTTTGTATAACAATAGTCTACTAAAATTAACTTAATTTCACTTTTGGTTATAATATCTTTAGTTACCATGTAGCAACAAAGTAAACACCTTTTTTGGTATAAAACAATGGCATAACATAAAAGTCTTTAAAATGCGCAAGGGTTGTTGTGTCTTTAAGTGATTTTTGATATATAGATATACGTGTAAATATAAATAATATATTTTATATATATATGTATATATATATATATATATATATATATATATATATATATATATGTTTTGTTAATATGTTTTTTCAAAGTATTCGTAAACCGATATTTCTTTTTTTAAACACTTTAAACCACTTTTTTGTAATAATTGTCCTGCTTTATTAACTCAACTAATCATTTGTTTTCCCCCATCCAAGATGGTAACAACTTGCGCTATTGTTATTTTGCATAACCACGTGACTTTCCGACTGCGAGGATAGTTTTATCTTGATTTGAGATGGTTTTCTCTGCTACATTTATTTGACTGTTAAAAGCGTGATTTAATCACGCTTTTAACAGTCAGATAAATGATTTATCTGACTGTTAAAAGCGTGATTAAATCACGCTTTTAACAGTCAGATAAATGAATTTAACAGTCAGATAAATTTTAGTATATAAAAAACTGTGATTCTCTGCTACATTTATTAAATGTAGCAGAGAATCACAGTTTTTTATATACTAAAACATCTTTATATTTTTTTTATCATTTTTAAATCAACAATTCAATTATCTTTATTATTATTTAATTCTATCAAAAATATGCAAATAATAACTACTTTGTAAAACTTTAAAAATGTTGTTGCTACTCAGAAAAATTTTTGTATCTAAAGGCCGTCACCATCTTTAAAATTATAAAATTTGAATTTGACACTGCGCTATAATAACTTTCCACATCTAGGGTAAACTGACCAAATTCGAGCCAGTGACCAAATTCCAGCCACATTTTAAATTTATTATTTCTGTCTTGTTTTCTGCTTTATGTTTGTAAATGCTACTTTTTTGAGACTGGTATGAATTCAGCCAATAAAATAAAGCATTGTTATAGTTGGCGGCTGTTTATAATAGAAGTAACATCATAAAAAATATTTATCTCAAAAAAGTACTACTTTATATTTAAAATATCATGTAAGCATCCAGTTTGAAGCTTATAAATATTAAATATTTATTACTTAACGAAATGTTAATTATTTTAAACTATAAATATATTTCTTAAAAAGACAATTTTAGCTTTATAATTATGTTGAGTCATTACTATAGATTGTATTTCTTAATTAATTGCACCTGGTAGAAAGACCAAAATCCGGCCAGGTATAAACCTTATTCCGGCCAAGGCCGAAATTAGGTTCACGAGTGTCTAAAAGTAACTCATACTTGTATGATATTTATATTATTAGATTTTATTCTTTTAATATAAGTACATTATGTTACATTTATGTCCTAAAAGTTATCAATCTTAAATATTTGCATTTATTTAGTTAAATATTTATATAATATTTTTAAAATTTGAGGATGATGGCTTAAAAATAAACAAAAGTCTAAATAATTGAAAGATATTATATTTTTTCATGTAAATTATTACTTATAAATGAAATTATATTAAAAAATAATCTTTAATTGAAAATATTAATAATATATAATATAAAGTTTTCATTTTAGAATGGCTGATAATAAAAATAAAATTTATAATAAGAAACAATGTCATCCAACTCGAGGTAAATATATGAAATATAAAAAGAAAGTGTTACTTGAAGCTATAAACAGTGTTATTAGTTCACCTAAAATGTCTGTTAGAGCTGCTGCTAAATTTTTTAAAGTACCCCGAGCAACTTTGCAGAGCAGGATAAATGGAAAAGTTGAGATTGGTGCAAAAGCAGGAAGAAAAAGTTTAATGCCGCTTGATCTTGAAAAAAAGTTACTCGATTTTGCAGACAACAGAGCTAGGATGGGCATTGGTTTTGGAAAAGAACAATTCTTGGTATATGCTGGCAAGCTTGCCAAAAAATATGGATATTCTTTTAAGAATGGCAAACCATCTAATAAATGGTGGCGACTACTTAACAATCGACATAACAAAAAAGTAACTCTTCGACAACCAGAATCAACAGCATCAGTTCGTCATCAATGCATGAATCTGATAAAGGTGGCAAATTATTTTACTGCATTTAAAGAAGTCATTAAAGACTGTCAGCCTGAAGTAATATGGAACATGGATGAGACAGGACTGCAGCTAGACTTTAAGGCGCACAAAATAGTTGCTGCAAAAGGTACAAAATATTTACATATGAGAACAAGTGGAAATCGAGAAATGATTACTTTAATTGTTTGTGTGAATGCAGCAGGAAAAGCCTTACCACCTCATGTGATTCCAAAAGGAAAGGCAGTAAAATCCCTTCAAAGTTTTCAAGTTCTATATGCCCCTGAAGGAACCAACTGGAGTCCAAGTGAATCTGGATGGAAAAAACAAGGGATTACAAAACTATGGTTTGAGCTTACATTTTTAAAAAACATTGGACCACAACGTCCACAAATTTTAATTTTAGATGGCCACGATTCCCATAATTTCGTAGAGTTAATAGATATGGCCATACAAAACCGAATTGAAATTGTTGAATTACCTGCTCATACAAGCAATTGGCTTCAACCTTGTGATCGAACTGTATTTAAGCCATTCAAAGTTTCATATAATAAAGCAGCCGAGGATATGATGTCTAATCACCCGGGGGTTATAATAAACAAGGCCAATTTTACAGGACTTTTAACCAAAGCCTGGAATAAAAGTATGACAAAAGCTAATATTGAATCTGGTTTTAAATCATGTGGAATCTTTCCATATAATCCTTCAATTATTCCAGCTGAAGCTTACTTGCCAAACTATGTGTATTCTGAAGACAGGTTAATGACTAATCTCT